GTTGCATGTACTTGAGACAAAAACCCAAACCTTCAGAAGCAAAAGGCCACCCGAAACCAGGACTCTGGTGGGCCGGGACAGGAGAGGAGGACGCTGCCTCGGGGACGTGGAGATGCTCTGCTCCAAACCTCGTCCTGGGAGCTGGTCCCAGGCTCGGGAAGGATGGGGAGGGGGGTGGGAATCTGCGATGGAAGGGGCAGACAGGAGCCCGGCGCTGGCCACAGTTGTCAATGTATTTAAACAACAAACAAATCAAACAAACCACCACCAACAACAAAAAAAGCGAAGCTCGAACTGCCCTTTCGGGACAAAGCGGGGGAGAAAAGAAAAGAGGGGGAAAACAAACAAACAAACAAAGCAAAAAGAGAAATAATCAGAGAGAGGCGGTTTCGATTTTTATTTATTCTCTGAACGTTCTCCAGGGTCTCATGTCACTTGGACTTGACTTTGGGAAGTCTCGGTCTTACTATGATTTCTTTTGGTTTGTTTTCCTTTTTTGCACATGAAAAGCCGAGATCAGCTGTGTTATATATATAAATATATATCTATATCTATCTATTTTGCCACCACGCACCCCTAGGTAAAATTGCTTTTCATGTCAGAAAAAGGCTCTTCAAAGTTAAGGGGCGGGGTGGGGGGGAGGGGGGGGGGGAACAAAAAGAACAGAAGAGGGGGAGAAAACATTTATATTTAAAGCATATGATAGTGTTTGCTTAATTTAAAACAGATAGTCCTTAAATTTGTGTGATCCAGTGAGACTAGATCTAAGTTTACTTTAGACAGAACGTCAGGTATGAAGTCAGGCAGTAGAACTGTGAGAAATGAATCCTACTACTAACGAAAAACCGAATAAAAAGCGATGGTCATTTAAAGATGTTTGGACGATGTCTTGGCAAGAGGGAGTGATAAGAGAATAATTAATAAGAATTATTAAGAATCGTGTATCCGGCAGGATTTTACCTCGTTAAACCTTTTTCATTTGTTGAACAAAGACGTTTCGAATAAAGACAATCTGTCATCAAACGAGGCAACGGCGTGATGTGACTGCGGTGCCCGGGCCCCGCGTCCCGCACCGGGGGGCTGCGGGTGATGCTCCCCTGCTTCTTCCCGCAGCCTCCCCCCCCTACCCCGCCTCCGCAGCAGCCCCACGCAGCTCTCCCC